TAACATTATCTGTTAATATATGTTAAATTAATGAGATTTTTTTAAATCATATAAGAAGTTAAAAATGGAACAAAATAACCATAATGCTAACATTATCTGTTAATATATGTTAATACCTGTCCAAGTACAGTCGAACAAAGCTTTGCAGAAGTCATTTTTTGCAAATGACCGAAGACTTCCTGATCGATGTTGACCAATTCAACATATCCACCTCTCAAACCACATTCACCCATATATCCTTTCGAACATGAATGAAATGAGCATAATTCCATTCTAAGAATAAGAATTAATAAAGATTGAAAAAAATTTTTTTTTCCAGAAGATGGAAATTTTCGATGTTTTTCCTTTTTTTTTTTTCTGTTAAAAATTACTATCACATAAACTCTATGTTTATTTGTCTAATTTAATTTACTAATTTATGTTTTTACTGTCTAATTTACTAATTTATCATTAATTTGGAACAACCTTACCGTGAATACGGTTCACCCATTGATTTCATCACTGATTTAAAACTATGAAATTTGAGATCATTTTCATAGATATTATCTTGATAAACCTACAAATATGAAATTTGTATGTGTAGGGAAATGAATGCATTTGTTCAGTTTTTTTTTTAGCAAATTTATCGATTTCCGATTTATTTCGACGATAAGAATGATATATTCATTAAATATTAAAAAATTATAAATAATTCAAAAAAAAAAGTACAAAAATATTTTAAGAAATTGATAAATTGAAGCATAAATAGATGCACTAACGAAATGAAGCAATCGAATAATGATTAATTGAAGACGAAGGGAAGCATTTTAAATTTTCATTTCAAATTTCAACTTTTTTCAATTAGTATTTTTTCTATATATTTTACATTAGCAAGTTTAATCATTCGGAAAACAAAACAAAAAACAAAAAACAAACACTGCAATGACTCACTTCATCAGCCATTAGAAATAATTTATTTTTGTAGGCAAATTTAATAATTTCTTCAACATTATCCCTGGATAATACTTGCCCTGAAATAATAATAAAATCAGTCTTTCTTTCTTAACTGGAAATAAAATTTCATTTAAAAAAAATTAATGGTATTTTGTTTTTTTAATTACACTTTAAAAAAACTTTTGACAAGCAGCAAAAATAAATACTTCATAGATTTATCGTAGTTATTTCTTTTTCATTTTATCTATCTGTTTACTTATTATTTTACTGTTTGCTTTTGTTCAATATATAGAAACGTTCAAACCTATTTATTTGTCTGTTTCTCGCTAGATTATCTCTGCTTTACTAATTTATATCTTATATTTTCTTAAAAAAAAAAAAAAAAAAATTCGAACCTTTAAAATTTTCAAATTTGCTAAATAAATTAATGATTAGAATTTATTTCTGAAAATAGACAATCAATTATGTGTACCTGTTGGATTACCAGGATTAATGACACAAAGCACTCGAGTATCGAATTCACTCAAAGATTCCTTGTAGGCTTTCTCGAGTTCGTTAATGTTCAATGCCCAATTATTACTTTCATCCAAATAATAGCCTACCTTATGTTCAGAATATTTAATAAATTTAAAATTCTTATTTAGTAAATTGTTCGAACTAATTTCAAATTTATTCACATATTATACTCTTATACATATTATTTACTGCTTTTTTATAACTTAGAACTATCACTAACTAACCAATCCAAGACCAAATTCGACGATCGATGCAGAATAGAGAGGATATTGTGGAATGGGTATCATTACACCCTTTTTTTTCTTTCTGCTATCCGTGTTAGTGAATAATTTCAAAATATTCTGAAATGAAATTTTCAGAAAAGAAAAAGAATTTCATGGTTATATTTATAAAAATTAAAAAGAATAGAGTGTAAATACATTTTAGAAGTTGAAAATAAAAAGGTTAGGATTTTTAATTGCTATAGTTATGGAATTTAAGACATTTGTTCAAAAATAGCATAATAAAAAATATTCAAAAGTTATAATTTTAATGTTCAGAAAATGAATGGTAGTGCATTGATTAGATAAGATAGAAAAAGTCATATCATTTTTCAAAAATTATAAATTTTCAATAAAATACTTTTTTTTTTTTCAAAGAATTTTGCAGTTATAAGTTTGCTTTTCTAACTAACAAACATTTCATTCTATTAGCTAGAAAAATAAACATAAAAAAAAAAAGAAGAAAAGAAATTTTTGTGATGTTGCCAATTTCAAATTCATACACGTATACTCTCCGAAGCTCCCGAGGATAAAAGTATATGTTGAGGATCCGATGGAATACCACCATCTCGACGAGTAATGTATTCTGCTACATGTTTTCTGATAATTTCAATGCCACTACTATGACTAAATTTTCATTTATTAAAATTTTAAAATTTCCAAAAATGCTTCACCACTTTTCAATGCATCATGCTAATTGCTAATAATGTGTTAAGCAAATTAATCAATTTTAAATTGATCTTTTGATCTCATAATTTTCATATTTCTTATGTACTATTTGTTCTTATCTTCAAATTTTTCAAATCATAACCACTCTTTCCATACTGTGCAGTTCATAACATAAAAGTAATTAAACAATGAACTAATTTAAAAAATAAAATAAGTTTAAATGGAAAACTATAGGTTTGAATTTAATGAAAATTTAAATTTAAATATTAAAATGAGAGAGATTCATTACCTGTAAGAACCAACGCTACTTCCGCTGCAACCACTGAGCAGCAATTCTGCACGCTGCTTAACATCTGATAGATATTTTACAGAATTAATTAATGACGGATCATTTACGCATGCTAAAACCTGCAAATTAAATTATTTAAACTGCAGCTGCATGAATTAATGGCAATTTTTTAGGCACTAAATATATAAGACTTCTTTCGTAATATAAATTTAGGATAGTCATAAAATTTAAGAAACGGATTAATAAAATTTTTTTACTTATTAGAAATCCAAAAGTTCTATTATTTTATGTACTTTGATGATATTTCTTAACGAATTTCTTCTTTATTTTTTGCAAATCATCAAAATATCTGCTAATGAATATTTAACGAGCAAAAAATCGAGAGAGAAAAAAAGTCCTAAAAAGGAATGGATTAATCAAATTTACTAGCAATTGTTAAGTATTATTTGATAAATATTTGCATAACTGATAGAGAGAGAGAGAGAGAGAGAGAGAGAGAAAGAGAGAGAAAGAAATGAATTAATTTAGCAATTTCAGTGAATAAGCAAAATAAACAATTTTCAATAAAAAATATGAACTAAAATCTTCAAACCTGTCGAATAAAACTAATCGGTTTTTGACCCATCGCATGAGCATCACCAATATTTGCTTTGATAACATTACCAAATGATTTTTTAACTCCCTGAAATTATGGTAATCTTATTGATATTGCATAAGAAATAGTCTTAAAAGTTTCTTAAAATTGAATTTTCTCAAACTTTCTTCATTAAATTGTAACTTCAATACATTGCAATTGTAATATAAATTATAGAAAATGCAGCAACAGCATTTTCTGGAATTTTGGAAATGCTAACAAACTAAAATAGATAAATTAAAAAAATGCAGCATCATTATCAAAAACTTGAGAGAGAGAGAGAGAGAGAGAGAGAGAGAGAGAGAGAGAGAGAGAGAGAGAGAGAGAGACTTTTACTGGATTAAATGAGAAGCAACATTTATCAACTGGCTTGTTATTTGAAACGTTTGAAATTTGCAATTTGCCCGTATGACCTAACTAAACAATTATTCTATTTTTATCTTTATCTCTATTAAATCACTGAAACTATTAAACGATATATTTTGAGGCAGTTTTTTCAATTCAAATAGCACTAATGTCTTGTGATGTTTATGAAAAAAATGAAGTCTTCTTAGCAGTTATATCAGTAAATGAATATGAAAAATTAAAGTACTAAAAAATGTTAGTAAATTGAAAGATGAATAAATTAGCATAAAATGAATTATGCCACCTCAATGAACTTATATTTCTTACTGAATTATCAAAATTCACCATTTACACTATAATAGATGAATAATTTAAAATAATAAAAAACTATAATAGATGGATGCAATTTACCTATGTGACCTAATTAAACATTCAAAACTAAAAATGCTTATTAACAGAAGAAAATTAATTTTCAAAATAGCTATTTTATTGTTACACAGGTTGCGTTAATTTAAAATTAATTAAATTTAATTTGATAATTTATTGAAAATTGCCTTATTCAATTCTTTTTCGATAGCCAAAGCACGAATAACCAATGGACCACGAACAGCATATTCCATAGCAATTACGTTAGGATTCAAATTTTCCAATGTAAGAATGCGATTTGCCGATGCCATTAGACGAATTTGCTGATGGATGGAATTCGTCATATCGAACGCTTTTCGAACAGAAATAATAGTCATTCCAAAATTTAATAATTAAAAATATTTCATACATATACAATTTTAATGCTCTTTCAGTGTTTAAATATTAGAACGAATATTGGAATGTTTAATCTATTTAATTTCATACTTTTATCATTTATTTATTTATTTAAAAAAAAGTAAATGAAACATCTATTAATTTCAATAAAAATACGCTCATTTGTTTATAATTTTGTTTGTTTTGCTACTAATGAATAATATTTGCTAGAAAACTGAAATACTTTTAACAGGATTATTTCTTTTGTTTTTATAAAATTAGCAATAACTTTGCAAAAACAAAAGAAACAATTCTGCTGAAAGTAAACAAAATTGTATGACAAAAAGATGGATAAAATTAATAGAAAGACGAAAAAAAAACAAGTAACACAATAAAAAGCAACCGAATTATGTCAATGAATTAAAATGAAATTTATCAAACTAAAAATAATCATTAATAATTACAAGAATGTTACTTTAGACTGGTTATAGAACACAATTTGATTTATATCTGTAAATTAAATGGAAGAATTGATTTGTTAAAATGAATTTATTGACAACAATTTGAGAAACGTTATTATAGATCGGTTGAAGAATGCAGCAAAAATATAATTGGATCATAGCTACGAATTAAAACGGAATGATTGATTTTTTAAATTGAAATGATTGATAATAGTTTCAGGAATGTTATTTTCATCTTCCAATAACTCGCATACAATTATTGAAAGGTAAAAATAACAATTCTACGATCAAAAAAGAGACCAAACGTAAAAAGTAAATAAACGAACAATTGAATATTGAATATTATATGCCATACTGCTATTCAATTACTATTTTTATGGAAAGGTCAAAGATTAACCAGCGATAAAAATTACCAAAAAGCAAAAATAATGGTATCATTGAGAAAAAACAAAGATTAAATAATAAAATTTATAATTTTTTGGTTTGAAAGACAGAAAAAAAAAACATTATCTCCTCTGATTCACTTTATCTACCCAATGAAAACATCAATATATTAATTTGCTTATTGTATATATATATATCACTACTCGAACGATAAGATTTATGTGCTATGTAATTAATTTGTTAGATGATAAAATAAATGATAAAATTTTTAAATGATAAAAAGTTAAATGATAAAATCATTGAAATTATAAACTTAACTCATTACTATTTTACTCGTAATGAAACTATTTTATATTGTTTGCATTATTTCATTTCTTTTATATTAAAAGATAAATTTTCTCAATAAGTAATAAATCATAAGAAGATAATAAAAATTTCCTTATAAAAAAGAATAAAAAGCAAATATAATAAATGGAAACGATCGGAAATATCACATTCAAAGCACTTGAGTGAAAATGTAAAATGAGATTATAAGTAAGAGCAATTTATCGATTGTTAGCAGCATCCACAAAATGATTTAGCACTAACATAGAATAGAAGATAAGATATATATATATGCCTATGTGTCCGTTGTATAACACTAATTCATCCAATAAGAATGTCTCTGCATATTCATTTACTTATTGTATATGTATAATTACTCTAACAATAAATACTAATTACATAATTCAACCATATATATAATTTTATGATAATGTATGTCACATAACTGTAACAAATAAAAAGTTTTAGAATTCATTATATTA